CTGTAAACGAGGAGGGTGCGCTGGACGCTGCCTGAAGTCCCTTTCAGCTCCTGCAGTCTGGCATTTATGATTTTAAGATTCATCATCCTTGAGCATATTCGAAAGGCAGCCATGTAAATTCTGAAGAAAATTCCAAAAAAGGAGTTCTGTTTTGAGCCATGGCAGTAACATTGAAATAATAATTTGGCTTTTGGGTTACACTGTGTCACTGCGTGTGTCGCGTGCAGGGAGCTGAGCACTTGAACATGTGAGTGGTGTCCTTATGGTGATCGGAGTCTCTGTGCCTTTGCTTACTTACCCCCAGTCACTTTGAAGAGACTAAATTCTCGTTTGCTGGGATTTTCAACTAAAACTTAAGACAGCTGCTCCTCGGGGACATTGCAGCTGGGACTGAAGACTTAATTGCGCAATGAAGGGGCTGATTGACCACTAAGATCTCGCCTAACAATGAGATTAGGCAGTTGTGTGGTTTGACCGCTTTTGTTTTTATGCTACAACAGGAAAAAAAAAGTGGAACTTTAAGCTTGGATAGGACACTATTTATTTTTTATTTTCATCTCTTACTGGATTTAATTTTAACATTAGAAAGCCACCAGAAGTCTTTGTTTATCAAAATTGTTGACTTTTGTGTATCCATAAACTAAATATAGTGGGTGGTCTCCAGCTTGCTGAAATGACCTGGGTGAAATCTTGTCTGAAGTCCCATTTATTTTTGGTTTTTTAGTGTAGTTCTTTAAAAAAAATTTTTTTTAAAAAACTTAAAAAATGTAAAATACACCATAGATACAGAAACCACATAAAACAGATTTGTACTTTAATGAATTATTACAGGTGAACATTCTTGTAACCATAACTCTGGTCAAAAAACAGAACTTTTGTCCCTGTTGGTGTGGCTCCGTGGTTGAGCATTGACCTATGAACCAGGAGGTCAGGGTTTGATTCCTGGTCAGGGCACATGCCCAGGTTTCAGGCTCCATCCCCAGTAGGGGGCGTACAGGCAGCAGTCAATCAATGACTCTCTCTCATAGATGTTTCTATCTCTCTCCGAAATCAATAAAAATATATTCAAAAAAATAATAAATAAAAATATGTTTTAAAAATAAAATACCTAGTGGCACATAACTGAAACGCAAGCTGAGTGTTAATCTCCTTCTTTAAAAAAAGAAAGAGCATAGCCCACGGCTGGGCAAACTTTCTGACTTGAGGGCCACAATGGGTTCTTAAACTGGGCCGGAGGGCCGGAACAAAAGCATGGATGGAGTGTTTGTGTGAACTAATATAAATTCAAAGTAAACATCATTACATAAAAGGGTATGGTCTTTTTTTTTTTTTTAGTTTTATTCATTTCAAACGGGCCGGATCCGGCCCGCGGGCCGTAGTTTGCCCACGGCTGGCCTAGCCGGTTTGACTCAGTGGATAGAGCATCGACCTGCGAACTGAAGGGTCCCAGGTTCGATTCTGGTCAAGGGCACATGCCTGGGATGCAGGCTTGATCCCCAGTCAGGGGTGTGCAGGAGGCAGTCAATCAGTGATTCTCATCATTGATGTTTCTATCTCTCTCTCCCTCTCCCTTTCTCTCTCAAGTCAATAAAAATATTTTTTTAAAAAGAAAGAGAGAAAGAAAACAGAACCTTTGCCCACAACCCCAATGCCTGTGTCCCCTGTCCCAATCCCGGACCCTGCCTCCCATGTAAAAATGTACAGGTTTTTATTTTAATCACTTATTTGAATTTAAGTTTCATCCCACTGCTAGGGGGCCTTAAATACTTTAGTTTTGCCTTTTCAAATATGTGGGTTTTAAGCCATTTTAGTCTCAGGTCCTCCTTCCATCCTTTTCTCCCTCGTAACTGATTGGAGAGGAAATCGGATTACTGGACCTGTAGTTGCTCAGGCTGGATTATGCTGATGGCTCTGGCTGCCTAGGACCTGGCCGTGTAGAACAAGTGTGGTTGTTATGTGCCTCAGTCCTGGGATGATATTCTACCTGCAATACCATCCCCCGTGTCTCCTTACCCTGGACCTTGTTCGTTAGCTTATCTCCTACTTGACCTTCAGAAGTTAGCCTAGACTTCACTCCTCCTAGACAGACTTTCCACCTGATCATCCCTGTGTCCTTTTCTGTAGTCTCATGACACTGAGGACATCACTGCAATTGCTACTTTAGCCGTGTCAACATAAGAAACATTCAACCCTATAAGTAATTTTTGTGAGTTTATTGGAGCCAAACTGTCAACAATTGCCAGGAGTAAAATCTCAACACATTGAGGTAAAGCTCTAGAAGATGGCAATTTTGCACCTGATTTTATACAGGACAATCAAAAGAGAAGACATAAGTAAGTTACATGACATTCATTGGTGATAGATTAGGGAGGCAGGAAAAAGCAAAGCAGGAAACCTCTGGAATTGGATAAGAAGTAAAATGATACATCTTTTATTTATTTATTTAATTTTTAAAAAAATATATTTTATTGATTTTTTATAGAGAGGAAGGGAGAGGGATAGAGAGTTAGAAACATTGATGAGAGAGAAACATCAATCAGCTGCCTCCTGCACACCCCCTACTGGAGATATGCCCGCAACCAAGGTACATGCTCTTGACCCGAATCGAACCTGGGACCCTTCAGTCTGCAGGCCAACGCTCTATCCCCTGAGCCAAACCGGTTAGAGCGTGATACATCTTTTACATAGGTGGGTACAGAATAGTGAATAGTCAACAAAGAACATGATACAATTAACAACGAGAGGATCTGTAGTCTCTGCTCTGGTGCTTCGGTTGTGCCCTGAGGGGTCCGGAACAAGGAAGTTACCCAGACATTCCAAAGGTGTGTTATGGTAGATACACAAAAGACTAATACACAGGCTCAGTTACAGTAAAGATTGACTTTTGTCAGGGAAGATTCTAGCCTAGGACATGACTACCTGCCATAAACTACTTTTAGTTAGAAAGTTTTAATTGCAGACCATCCTTTGTGATTACTTGAGGTCTCTGAGGTTGCAAGGCCACCACGCAGGCCTTCCCTGAGCCTGTCAGGTTAGCTTGTGACCCATTTTCATCCCCACCTATTTTCCCTTCCAAGCTGCTTTCCATCCACGCGAGCTTCCTCACATACTCCTGTGTGCCTGGCATGTGAGAACCAGGTACAGAGTTGAACAGCTCAGTTCCTTGCCCTCAAGAAGCCCCTGGACAGGGAGGGGCAGACAAAGATGGTGTAAAACTTCTGAGCAGAGGAAGCAGGCCCCGGAGAGTGTGGAGAGGTTCCCACCCTCAACTGAGGGGTGGAGCAGAAGAGACCAAGCACAGAAGGCTCTCCAGAATAGGTGATAATGAAACCGGACGACCAATGGGTCCAGACTGCCTGTCACTACTTGAGCCAATTGAGCAGACAGAGTTGAATCATATCTGAGCTTTTATTCCAATAAAGCCGGCAGCATGGGAGAGCAGCAGCTCATCCACAAAAATCGGTTCAGCACACTCCATTAGCCGCTGCTCATATTGGGCAGGACAAAGACTGCACGGGGAAGTAGGCAAAAGGAATAAGAATGGATATAATGGCTCCTGGTTACAGGCAATGTGGGGCAACAGGTTGTATGCAACGTGAATCATATCTCAGATTGTTTAAAAATAAAGGGACCAGGAGCACCAGTAGTTCAGAACCAGAGGCCATCTTAACATCATGGTGTCTTTGGAGAAAACTTTTCAGCTGTATTTAATTTGAACAATTCAAGTCCACTAGGCAAATAAGCATTGGATAGCTTGCTATGGTGGCAGAGTTAATTTTTTTAGCAGTTTCCAAACAACTATGATGTTAAAAGGAAAATAAAGTCTCAGGTGAGCCCTGGCCTGTGTGGCTCAGTTGGTCGGGCATTGCCCCATGCACTGAAAGGTTTCTGATTCTATTCCCGATCAGGACACATGCCTGGGTTATAGGCTCGATCCCTGGTAGGGGCCCTGCAGGAGGCAGCTGATCAATGTTTAGATCTCACATGAATGTTTCCCTCTCTCTCTCTTTCTTTCTCTCTCTCTTCCTTCCTCTCTCTCTAAAAATCAATTTAAAAATCTTAAAAAATAAGTCTCAGGTGAATGAAACCTACCTGATCTAAAATAAAATTTTAAAAAGTCAGGTCAAGTTGGTTGATAATGTTATTCATATATTCTATATTCTTATTTATTTTTTTAGTCAATTTTTGTTTCAGATATTTCAGAATTCTATTAAGAGGTGCTACTCAGTTAAGATTATTATGTCTTCTTGATGTATCTGACCCTCTTACCATGAAATAACCCTGTTATCTTTAGTTATATTATGTGCCTTGAAGTCTACATCATTTGATGTTAAAATAGCCATATCAACATTCTTACATTGAGGGTGTGCATTTTATATTTTTCCCACATTTTTACGTTCAAGTTGCCTGGATGTTTGTGTCTAAAGTGCTTTTCTTATAAACAGCACAGTTGTTTCGTAAATTTATTTGGCCCCAGGACTGTTTTTTTATGTAACCTCTGTTAGCCAAGTACATTTTGGGGAATGCTGTTCTAGGCAGGAGAATTCAAATTGGAAATTTGCAAGGAGAGCAAAACAGAAAATTTTAATTTCATTTTTATTTGAATTAACTAGATGCCTTGTCTATGTGACATTATCATTATATTAAAGTAATATCTATTTTTTGTTTTCCTACAATCTACTTTAAAAAAAATTAAGCAGTTATCTAGCCAAGTAGAGGCTAATTGCACATAAAAGGGAAAAAATTCCCCACTGTGTCACTCCTCCGCTCTCTGACACTGTAGTGAGAAGGGGGTCAGGAGGCGCTCCCCTGTAGCGGATCTGCATCTCACTCTCATAGCATTTAATTGATAACCATCCCCCACACCCTCACCCCCCCGTCCCCCAGCCAGTCTTCCAGAGTGGACTGTCTGGTTGCTGGGGTGTCTCCTGTATGTAGTTGCATGTAGTTGGCTGCTTTTCCTATGATGCTACAAAGGTCACTTTTCCCATTACTTCTAGTCAAACTACAACTCCAAGCAGAAGAGAGAGGGGTCGTGTCTATCAAAGGAGTGTGTGCCAACCGCTATCTCGCTATGAAGGAGGACGGCCGGTTACAGGCTTCTGTAAGTAATGCCTTCTGTTTTTGTAGCTTGTTTCTTTATTTGCTTTTATGCTCGGTATGTACTGATGTTGGTATTTGTTAAATCTTTATTAAGGGTTTTACAAGCATTATACTATTTAATATCCATACGTACCCTATAAAATGCGGGTATCATGCTCTTCATTTCACAGATACAAAAACTGAAGTTCGGAGGGAGTAAAAAAGTAAGCAAGCAAACTCAGCTCCTCTGAGGCAGCTTTCACTCCAGTGTGAGGCCTCGCTCACTGCTTTTCCTGCCTTCTCTGCAAAGCTTGAAACTACAGTGTTGTTTTGTTTTTAAATCCTTATATTGCACAGTTGTTTGAAGACCAGTGGGATGGACATATACACTTTTGAGCATCAGTGTTAGGGTTCTTCTGTCAAATTTGACAAACCCTTGCAGCGTGGAATGCCATTTGAGAAGGTGGGCTCTGAGGCTATGTATGAATTCTGGCTCTGCTGCTGATTAGCTGTGGGTTCTTGGGCCAAGGATTCTGAATTAGTTCCCGTATCTGTAAGATAGAGGCCCTAATGATCCTTCCTATCTCATTGTTTTTGTGAAGACCATAAGTTATAAATTAGATAACTTATATCAAGTGTCAACATCAGGGTCTAATACATAATAGGTCCTCAGTGGTTACTTTCTAGAGCAGGGGTCCTCAAACTTTTTAAACAGGGGGCCAGCTCACTGTCCCTCAGACCATTGGAGGGCTGGACTATAGTTTAAAAAAAAACTATGAACAAATTCCTATGCACACTGCACATATCTTATTTTGAAGTAAAAAAACAAAACGGGAACAAATACAATATTTGTATTTGCATGTGGCCCGCGGGCCGTAGTTTGAGGACCCCTGTTCTAGAGGATGGATTTGAGGCAGCGAAGATTGGTGGAGATGGGCCGGTTCAGGCAATCGATGATGACACCTGGCAATAGCAGGGCAGAGAGGCTGAGCCAAGGACTAGCACCTGAGAGGGAAAATGTTTAGGAGTACAGAGAGGGAAAAGTCAAAGATGGCCCGTAGGTTTCTGGTTTGGATGAGAGGGTGGATGGGAAAGGGGGAAGGGGAAAAGCGCAAGTGCCGGGGAAAGATGTAGACCTATTTCAGTTGAGTTGCCGAAGGGAAACCCGGTGAGGATGTTCACTGCATGGTTGGAGGTACGGGTCTGGAGCTTAGAGGTCGGTGTTGACATACGGCTTTGGTGTCATCAGCATCAAGGTGGTAGTGGAATCAGGGGAATGGATGACGTTTGTAGGTGAAAAATAGCTCTAAAAGATGGACTGCTTGCCTGGGACATTCACTTTTTCCACTGTTCTTGTCTTTTTTTCTACCAGTCTGTTGTCAACTCAAGGGGTGATGTAATACTTTGGGACGCTACCAAAGTAGCATTTTAAATATTTCCAGGACAGTGAAGCAGCAGGTAATTTTAGGTGCCCTTGATCTTGTAGGGGAGGAAGAGGGGTTTAACCCTAGTCTTCTCACCTCCAGATGTGACAAGTCATACCTGGTGTGAGTCACTGTGGCTTTTACAACAGTGTTGGTTTGGCTCCTGTCGGACAGTGAAGATGGTGGAAAGAAGGAGGTGTACACACTGGCTATGTCATAACTCACTATGGATGACCCTAGTCAAATGCTTTTAAAGCTCTAGCCTTTTCTAGGACTGTCTTGATCTGGCTCAGGGAGAGATTTGAGAGTGTTACCCTGTGGTTTTCTACTCATTAAGATTAAGACCCAGTAACCTGATAATGATGGCTGCCCTGTAAGGTGGCCATTGAAGGGCTTGTTTATCTGGAGAACAGTCTGGAGTGGGTATGTTTGTAATGATAAAAGGCTCCATGTTGTCAAAAGAGATGAAAACAGAAGCTACTCTGCTTTCAAGGGCATCTCTGAAACTACGGGGGTCCTTAGAAGAAGAGATGCATTTAAGACCAGGGACCTAAAAATGGAACCGTCTCTCATTCTTACAGAATTCTCTACAAGTTAGAATTCAGGGAATTCTGATCTCTTTTCTTGGTAAATAGGCATTAAGCTTCCAAAACTGTTGATTCCATACCACCGGAAGCATAAAGCGCTCTAAAAGAAATTTCCTCCTTTCTTCCTTAGCTAACCAGGACCTTCTACAAGATTAAGGTTATGGCCTTTTATTTCCTCTGAAATGTGTTTCTGTCTCCTTGGATGTGTGTTAATTCTTCCCGACACAGCAGTAAGAGTGAATTTAGCAATGCTTAGAGATTTACCACACACTCCTCTGTAGAGACAAAGCTACAGCTGTTCTACATAAATGGGAAATTCAGAATTTATCGGTTTCCTCTCAGGAAGGCATCATGGTTCCAGCTTCCATTTTAGGATCTATACTTGGCAAGTTCACGGTTAATCGCTAATCTGACCACTCCATTTGGGTGGCCGGCTGCCATGCCTGTTCAGCGGCAATCCTGTCTCCTTCGTGTCAGGCTGGGTGGGCCGTGTCAATCTTCGGATGAGAAAGTAAGCACACACTTCAAACCAAGGCGGTGCTGGTGGTGGCTCAGTAAGGGGCGGAGTCAGACCCAGAGGCGTGGAGCTGTCAGCAGTCGCTGCTGTTGGTGTCAGTCCTGTGTTGTGACCAGAAGCACCCTCTGGGCGTGCAGTGGCTTCTTGAACTGAGAAACTGCAGTTATGAACTTGCACTTGACAAAGGCATGGTTCTTCCTCCTCTTCAACTACCCGGCCCCATTCCGCCTGCTGTGTTCAGGGCTCATCCCTGTGTGGGATCCCGCAGAGATTTATAAAATATGCCAGTTCCCCTCAAAAAGAGAGCACTCTGGCTACATAAAACATTTGGTTCCTAAGTCACGTCAGGTAGGTCGCCACCAGTTGAGAGCATGAAAAATTACTAAGTTGTGTACCATTTTTTTCCTCCAGCACCTTCATGTATTAATGGTATGAATGCATTCAGGATAAGGATTTCTCACTGTTTGCAAACATTTCTTAAGGGTCTCTCCCTCATCCCCCTTCAAAGCTAGAAAATACAAAAGTTCAAAGAGTAACTATATTTAACTGCCAAAGCCTATATTTGGAGGCAGACGTGGAGTAGTCTTTAATCCACAACAGACTCCTTATTCCATTCCATAGCAGGAGAAATTCTGTTGCTATGAGCAACAGAAGTCCAGAACAAATATTAGGATTTATGATTTCTTAAGTGTTCACAAAATTGTAGTAGATTTTTTTAAAAAATTGCATATAGTGAGGCAATTGTAGTTTTAAGTTTAAATCACCGAGCAACCTCAATGTTAGCATTGAACTGAAACAATCTGCCTGGTCTTTATCTGCTAGGAAGTCCGACATTGTTTTCTGTAAAATGTGAGAGACTGCTAACCAAACAAAACATTTCAGTAAGTATTCGAGTATGTGTGACCTGTGTTGATCCATAATAGTGAAATATGAGAAATCATTTATATTCTCTGAGGATATACATTCAATCACTGTAAAAGTAAAATACTTTTTTTTTTTAACCTGCCTGTAGAATAACTTGCTTACTTGAGGGGCCTTCACTATGAAGCCTACATGCAAAGTAAGGAAACTAGCTTTTTCAGGGCTCCCTTATCTAGATTGATAATATATACTGATCAAAATTGTCAGAAAAATGCAACAATTAAGGAGGAATGTATATCATTTAAGAGAGAAAGTACAATTAAATGCAAAGGTTACTGCCTGATAAGAATTATTGCTTCTTTTAGAAACCAATCTTATAAAATGTTATACAACATATATATTTTTATTTTTTACAAGATTAAGATAAAATTTCCTTTTAACTTTTCACAGTTTGTGTGTTTGAGTTTGTTCTGAAATAGTCGGTATTAATACTTACATCGTCTCTGTTTTTAATTATCAGAAGTGGCGTAAGCACAAGCATTTTTGGATTCATGTTGAGCAAACTCCCTCCTAAGCCAAAACTGCAAAATCAAAGTACTGTAAAAGAACAAACAATCCAAAAACAGAGCGTGGGGAAATGACCAGAAGGTTCAAATCTAATATGTAGCAGCAGGCGAGACTCCTGAGGCCAGTGGCACAGGGAGGAGCGAGGGCAGGGAGCACTGTGGAGTGATCGTCCCCCCACTACCACACTGTCTTCTTTGGAGGGAAGTCACTGTACACGGCCCACACTGAAGAATGCAGGGTTATGCGCCATCTCCTTGGAGGAGGAATCTACATAAATGTTTTGGAATTTTCTCATGTGACACGCAGACAGCTTCTTACCATCCCTATGGCCACCACTGCAGTCTGAGTCTCCACTCCCTCTGCCTGTGAAACTCAGACCACCTCATACAGGTGCCCTGGCATCGGCCTTTGCTCAGTGTGGTCTTGGCAGCCAGAGTAACCCTGGGAGAATGTCAGGTCATGCCACTTTGCTGCTCAAAAGCCTACAGTGGTTTCCCATTTTCCCAGAGTATTTACAATAGCTTCTAATCTCCTATCTCGTTTCCTCTCTGACCTCATGTCCGCCTCCCCTCCCTTCATGCACCCGGGCTTCCTTGCAGCCCCTCACACGCTGCAGGCCTGATCCTGCTCCAGCTGGCGCTGGCTGTCCCCTCTCTGTGCTCGAAATGCCCTGCTCTCATGTCTGGATGGTTAACTCCTTCACCTCCCAGCATTTGCTCAAATGTCACTTTCCCAGGGGAGCCTCCTGTGACTGTGCTATTTAGTGTTGCAACCGTCCCACTCCCAACCCCTCTCGTTCTCTCTTTTACTCTTTCCACAGGATTCATTCTAATCTGGCACACAAGTCACTCACTTACGTTCATTGCTTATTTGGTGCCTCCACCTGCTAGACTGGAGTGGCACAAAGGCATGGTCCTCAGTGAGTTTGTTCACTGACCAATCCCAGTGCCTAGAAGACAAAAACACACGTTAAATGAATGCATGTATTATTGGAACCGTGTGCTTTCTATATCTTAACATTATTTTTATTTTATTTTATTTTATTTTAAAAATATATTTCATTGATTTTTTACAGAGAGGAAGGGAGAGAGATAGAGAGCCAGAAACATCGATGAAAGAGAAACATCGATCAGCTGCCTCCTGCACATCTCCCACTGGGGATATGCCCGCAACCCAGGTACATGCCCTTGACCGGAATCGAACCTGGGACCCTTCAGTCCGCAGGCCGACGCTCTATCCACTGAGCCAAACCGGTTTCGGCATTAACATTATTATTATTATTTTTTTAAATCTTTATTGTTCAGATTATTACATTTGTTCCTCTTTTTTCCCCCCATAACTCCCCTCCTCCCAGTTCCCGCCCCACCCTCCGCCCTCACTCCCCACCCACTGTCCTCATCCATAGGTGCACAATTTTTGTCCAGTCTCTTCCCGCATCTCCCACACCCCTTTCCCCCCCCCAAGAATAGTCAGTCCATTTCCTTTCTATGTCCCTGATTCTATTATGATCACCAGATTATTTATTCACTTGATTCTTAGATTCACTTGTTGATAGATGCATATTTGTTGTTCATAATTTGTATCTTTACCTTTTTCTTCTTCTTCCTCTTCTTAAAGGATACCTTTCAGCATTTCATATAATACTGGTTTGGTGGTGATGAACTCCTTTAGCTTTTCCTTATCTGTGAAGCTCTTTATCTGACCTTCAGTTCTGAATGATAGCTTTGCTGGATAAAGTAATCTTGGTTGTAGGTTCTTGGTATTCATCACTTTGAATATTTCTTGCCACTCCCTCCTGGCCTGCAAAGTTTCTGTTGAGAAATCAGCTGACAGTCGTATGGGTATTCCCTTGTAGGTAACTGGGTTTCTTTCTCTTGCTGCTTTTAAGATTCTCTCTTTGTCTTTTGCTCTTGGCATTTTAATTATGATGTGTCTTGGTGTGGTCCTCTTTGGATTCCTTTTGTTTGGGGTTCTCTGCACTTCCTGGACCTGTAAGTCTATTTCTTTCACCAGGTGGGGGAAGTTTTCTGTCATTATTTCTTCAAATAGGTTTTCAATATCTTGCTGTCTCTCATCTTCTGGCACCCCTATAATTCTGATGTTGGTACGCTTGAAGCTGTCCCAGAGGCTCCTTACACTATCTTCGTATTTTCGGATTCTTTTTTCATTTTGCTTTTCCAGTTGGGTGTTTTTTGCTTCTTCGCGTTTCGAATCTTTGACTTGATTCTTGCGCTCCTCTGGTCTGCTACCCAGACTCAAACGGGAGAAGCGGGACTGTCTGGCTTCAGTCGGAACTCGAAGGCAGCTTTCTCTCCGAGGTTTGCAGCGGTTGCTGGGACTCTGAGAGGCAGAGCCCCTAGGGACAGAACTGAGAGCAGCCATAACTGCTTGCTCCGCCCGCCTTGTAGATCCCCAGGGACTTGCCCCGCCCAAGCCCTGCTCAGAGCCATTTGCCGGATAGCCTCAGGCAAACGCTAGATTAGCACCACCCTAGAGATCCAGCACAGAAGCTCTCCCACTGCAGACACAGCTGACTCTCATAGCCAGTTAGCCTGGAGGTCAAATCACCCCTGGTATTGCTGACAACAATCAAGGCTTAATACAACAAGACTGCGCACAAAGACCACTAGGGGGTGCACCAAGAAAAGATAAAAAAATGCGGAGACAAAGAAACAGGACGCAAATGTCAGAAATGGAAGATATAGAGTTCAAAACCACACTTTTAAGGTCTCTCAAGAACTGTCTAGAAGCTGCTGATAAACTTAGTAAGGCCCTCGAAAAGACTGGTGAGACCGCTGATAAATGTAGTGAGATCCTCAAGAAATCTAATGAGACCCTTGATGTTGTGATAAAGAACCAACTAGAAATTAAGCATACACTGACTGAAACATTATTTTTAAATTAAAATAAACCAAAATAAAGGAAAATTTAACTTGATGAAAAGGTGTGAGAAGTGGCTACTTACGTAGCCTCTGTGACGTCCTCTGTGACGTCATTCCTCCAGAGGACCCCCCTTGCTCTGAGGTTTGAAGTGGTGAGAAGTTGAACACTGGGAATAGGAAAAAAGCTCTGTAAACATGTTTATAAAGGTTAAGGGAACTTCTATTGCATCAATTTTTAATAGAAACATTGAGGTCACAGTCACCGAAGATTTGTAAACTGAGAAAGGAGAGAATTGAAATTGTACTTATATGGTCATGTGAAACCCCTGCTTTTCCTGAGAGCCGAATTTTGCCCTACGACCCATTTGAAAAAGCACCGCAGTTTGTTTTCAAGTGCGTAGCAGTTGTTTAGTAAACGTACGTGTCTGGACGTTTGGCACAGAAGCCAGCTTTCCTTCCGCCCGTGCTGTTTTTGTAAAGGTACAAGTAACCTCTGTGGAAACAGTTTGTGGGTTCCATGATGTAGTGCCCACTTAATCCCTGGTACTGTTTCTCTTCTCTGAAATAGTAGGAACTGGCAGAGAAGGCAAATATTATTGGCATGGCACCCATCCCCGTAGGCCAACCATTGTAAGGAGTGCCAACAGCAAGGTGGGGCGCCATGGAAGTTGACAGAACACCCCAAATGAGCGTATCAGTGTCCTGACAACTGAGGAGTTAGCCTGTGTCACTTCATAACAACCTTCCCTGTTATCTTTATGATCGGTATGACTTTTCCTTTCACTCTTTACTTCCTTTCACTTCCACTCCTGGTCTCAAACCTAAAATTGGGAAAGAGGGAGGTTTTTTATCAGTGGTGCTGAAAAATGACAAAGGAACACAGGTTAACGTCAGTCATCACAAGAAGCGGAAGGCATTTCACCAGGGGCAGAGTGGAGGTGTGGGCTGTGGATGTCCCACATGACTGCAGGGTTCCCCTGTTACCACAACCGGGCCTTCCCAAGCCGCAGCCCTGGCTGTGACGGAGCTGGCTCCTCTGCAAGGCTTCCTGGGTTTTATTTGTATCAGAAAGACTTATGTTGCTTTACTAACTTGTTGCAAAAAAACCTGGATGATTTTGCATTTCAGTTTTAAAAAGTTTAATGAACAAAAGCCAAGTAAGCATCCAATAAAATTCTCACTGCTGCAAGCCGCCGACAGGACCTGCAACCCACCCTCACTTTAACCGCCTGAGATGTATGCGTTCTCTGTTAGGTCTCTCTCAGAACCTTTCACTTTGGTTATTACACCAGCTCTTTTCATTGTTTTACTTATTGATTTATGATTTTTTCTTTCCTGTCAGTTTGTGCCATTGCTCAGTTGATCTTGGAACCAAAGAATCTGGGAAAAGATTCAAGTCTTTTGAATGTGGGTTTTCCCAGTCCTGAAGTTTCCTAGATTTGAGTATCCAGACAGAAGTGGCAACCTGGTGCACTCATTAATGCAAAGCCATGGGCTTGTGCGCATGCTGTATTTATATGTGGAGATAGAAATAGGTGTAAAATTATATGCCTTTCTCTATGATTTTATTCATCTACCTATAATTGAAATATAAAAAAATAAATTATTTTTCCTTTCTTCCCTTAAAGTGAGCAAATCATTTGTTGATTCTCCCCACTCCCACCCAGAGGTCAGTATGTATCATCATTGCTACCATGTGAAATTGAGTTTTTAAAATAGTTGATTTTTAGAGAGAGAGTAAGGGAGATGGAGAGAAACGTCAATGTGAGAGCACAACCTCGAACGGCTGCCTCCTGCACACCCTCTAACAGGGATGGAGCCCACAACCCTGGCATGTGCCCCGACCGGGAATCTAACTAACCAGCAACCTTTTGATGCGTAGGATTGATGCTCAATCAACTGAGCCTCGTTGGCCAGGGTGTGAAGTTGATTTTTGAACATTTACCTGAAATCATGTGGCAGCCTATCAGACTTGATGACTTGGAATCATATCACCAGATCTAATTATTTGTTTAGCTGGCTATTTTCTCCCCTTGATAAATAGTTGGATTGAAGTCAAAAGACAGAGTAGTTCCCCCTCCCACAAGAAACTGCCAGAAAGGAGTATGTTCTCCATTACTTGTTCCTCATTATCTCTCAGTGTTTTGAGAATGCCAATCATATATGTTTCAATACAATTTGGGAGCGATATATACATTCACTATTTCCTGTGCAATAAACTATTCTTTTATGCCGTTGAAACAATATTAGCTACTGGGAAAAATATAATTTAAGGAACTGTTTCTTGCCTATGGGAAAGTTACCTGTCCAGCACTATTTCACGAGAACCCTGATAAGTCAACACGACCCAGTTGGTAACCTGCCTCTGGATTGGATGAGCATGGCTGGACCATAAACCCCCACTGGAAGCCATAGCTTTGGGTTTCCCCAGGTGTAGGGGGGAGGTTTGGTACTGGGTGTATCCCTCTTTGTGGAGAGCCCTGAAAGCTATGTGTGTGAGGTACTTAAAGTCCGAGCCAGTGTGGTTCATACACTACCTGTGTGCCCTTGCTGCCTAACACATACCTGCCCATGGGGGGCTGCAGAGAGGGCCTGTGGCTGCCTCCATCGAAGAGATTAGCTGGAGGCCATCCTGCATCCTTCTGCGGGTCTGGGCTGTGTCAGAGCCTGGCCTGCCGAGTCTGGCTGGTTTGACTGTCCCGCTGAACCCAACAGCACTGCTGCTGGTTGAGCAGAATGGGCAGTGAATTGTCAAAACATTTAATATGCAGAGTAAAATAATAATAGCAACAATAACAACTACTTATTCTTCCTTTATTTTTCAGAAATGTGTTACGGATGAGTGTTTCTTTTTTGAACGGTTGGAATCCAATAACTACAACACTTACCGGTCAAGGAAGTACTCCAGTTGGTATGTGGCACTGAAGCGGAACGGGCAGTATAAACTTGGACCCAAAACAGGACCTGGCCAGAAAGCCATACTTTTTCTTCCCATGTCTGCTAAGAGCTGATCTTAAGGGCACCATCTGATCTCGTTTCACATGAAGGAAGAGGTATATTTTAGAAATTTGTTAACGAGAAGAAAAGAAAATGTGTGCAGCTATCTGCTCAGTTTGGATAAATGGTCAGATAACCTTTGATCTGATAGTAAAGTATTTAACCATTGCCTTAGTAAAGAAAACAACAAGAATTCCTGGAAAATGTATAAATTTCCACCTTTTATATAGCATTTGCCTTTATCCAGTGACGCTTACTTAGAGCTACAATCTTTCCATACATTCACTCCATTCGAAAAGAGGCTTTAAAAATGTGTGCACTTGCAAATTTTCTTCATGGAAATCATACACATTAGAAAATTAAAGTCAGAGATTTAGTTAACCCAAAATGTGCACCATTCTTAGAATATGGCACACATTAATCTACATATACAATTTACTAAAAATTTTTACACATGTAAATATGACTTAGTCCACTCCCGTCATCATTTTGTAACTGTCTGGCAGTTCCCTGTGATAGAGTTTGTAGAACAAGCCGGTGTAAACAGCTGGGAGCTGGTCCATGGTCAGGTCAATCTTCTCGAAGCCTTCCCTGTGCCCGTACAGCAGCAGCCGCGCGGCCCTGCTGGTGACGGGCGTGGCGTTGGCGGCCTTGGCCAGCTCGGTGAGGTCCATCCACTCGCACCGCAGGCACTCGTGCGGGCACAGCTCGATGGTGAAGGAGCGTGGCTTCAGGCGGCAGATGATGTACATGTCCGACTTCCCGAAAGCCCCGGGGTGGCTGTGCTGCTGCCGAATGCTCAGGAGGGACCTGAATTCTGATCGTATACCAGTTTCTTCAAAAACTTCTCGAACTGCTGTGTCTCCTGCGTGAAGAAAAGATGTACAAATCAATAAGAATCATATTTTCAGAAGGTAATCGTCAAGGATTTTCAGTTAGAGAACTTTATCTAAAGGTTCAGAAGCAAAACTTTAAGAAAGTGAAGTTTTCAATAAAAACTCTGACACCCTGAAATACCAAAGTATTTTCTTACCACTGTACACCTAAGAAGCTTTTAAAATAGTGAATATTTCTTTGGCTGCTACTGGGGGGGCCTATCCACCTGATGTTTTTGGGGTCACATATTTTTAACTTCTTCCTGCTCTATTTCTCAAAAGGTGAAAACATAGGTTGCAAAGCTGCGGTTACTGTTCCTACATGTTTCTTCGTCGTTACCTGTTCCTGACCATCCACCCATACTGCCTGAATTTATAAATGTTGGTGTGGAGAGAAAGTGATCCCCTCCTTATGAACATGTAGGGCTGCAGAGTGTAGAGACTGCGAAGGGACTCGGACCTCTCCTGGTGATCTGGGGCAGGTGTGGAGGACAGTCAGGCCTCCAAATCTCAGGAGGATGCCTTTGCAATCTTTTTGTTGTTCTCCACTAATTATCTAGTCCGGAGAATCACAATTGGGATTTGGGGCAGCTCCTTTGTTTCCTGAGATTCCAAAGAATTTAGATTCATTCCTCCAACACCCAGATGCTGCAGTCACTCATCAGAGGTTTTTAAAAACTTGGAATACACAGAACTTTGTAATACAACAAGGTTTCCACATTTTAGAAGGGTGACTTTCTGATAACACACAAACTTATGGGGCAGGATTTTCACTGCCATTAACATATGCTGGTGGCTGCTTTTTCTAACTATCCAGATGATCCCCCAATGGCTTCTTCTAATTCTGTGATGCTGCCATTACCTCCCAAAGAGGCACAAGAAGCCCTGAAAATAGCTGCCTTCCTCATCCAGTTTGCTGGGAATTATCATAGTTGCATAGCTTTTTGTTCAAATGCCCTTTAGTACCTGCCTTTTCTTGTTTGCCAAGCAGTAAATTATATTTGCCTTGTTAGTAGTCTTGCTGGTCTTACTGGTGAAGAACAGGCAAGGAAGAAGAGGGCAAGGAGACTGTCTCCAAGTCCATGTGCTCTGCCATGGACTGTCTTCCCAATTCCCTGGGTAGCCCTGGACGCTCCCTAAGAAATGGCTCTGGAAGTGTGTGCAGGAGGAGCAAGGTGCTCTGAAATGTAAGCCATCTGTCTGCCATTTTTTAATTACATGCATACTCCCCTTATAATTGAAATTTGCCACAGGTTGCACAGGGCTAGAAATTATATTTTTAAATTAAAAATGTATAAGAATTTATGCTAAGAAGGGAAAAATTTCCTTACTAAGAAAAATAATTTTCAGTCTGGTATAGAATCCATATTTGTTATTAAATCTATTAAAGACTGTGGCACTAGTCTTAGCTTTTACATGTCATTGGCTGGTATCACTTAACTATTGGTTAAGTGTTCTTTAAACACTTTGAAAGCTAAACATGGGGGTCCTGTCTAGTTCTCAGTATCACTAGTCAAGATTTGGGCCTTCAGTTCCCATCTAGCCTGTTTCCGTGTCACGGATCACAGATGGGGACAGTTGGGGAGTCAGCCCTGTTCAGCAGTCATCAGTGCGGTGGACCCCAAAACAGAGTGCCTGGGTAGTCTGATCAGTTTAACTTGAATCAGCAGAGCAGTGTCTAGACGAAAACTGAATGGGCAAGTAGGTGCTTCTGTGTCCAGGGTATGAGAGCCCTTTTGCCCCCAGATGGAAATCTCTTCTCCAGATATCTTGCCATGAATCTGAATTTTTATTTGGATAAAGTGCTTTTCTCTGTTGGGCCTTTGTTATTCTAAAGTACTGTAAGCTAAACTGAAATACCATTTCCTGTGCTACAAGTTTGAAGAACATAGGAAAAACCAAGAGGGTTATGTTTTTACCGTATTTTTGCTGATTGAGAGATATGTTTAAATACGTCATAGCATTTTGTTTAGATGTAGAACAATAGTGAGATGGAGTTTATATTTGTTATTTCTATTTTGTGATATTTAATGAAGGATTAGATGGAAATAAAATAAAATCATAGAAAAATTGTGCAGAATGTGGGCTTTCCTAGTGTTTCACTCTGACTCTGGGGCACAGATGAACCCAGACCAGCGACTGGTGCAGTCCTCAGGCTATGCAGGGGGTTGTCCCTGGCAGGGATAACGGGGTTTTTTAGGAAGGCAATGCCTCTATTTTTAACCTTTGTACTCCTAGGGTAGTATATTAAAGCCTGAGGATTGCATTCCATTTTGTATGTGCTCCTTTTGATTCTTTTTAGACACTACAGACAATAGTGCTTCATTTACCTAGTAACACAGAATGAAGGATTGCAAACAGATGTGTTTCCCAGTTAACCAGTGTTTACTACTTATGAGCCAGTATGAATGCTTGCACATTGGTGATGGCAGTATTCCTAAAATAGATTATGTTCCTAAATATAGGGTTTAAAGAAAATAAATAATTCTTGCATGATTTGGCTTCATCATTAAAAATATCTATTATTGTATTGTATTGTATTGTATTGTATTACAGAACAGAAATGCCTTTGGATAGACATAGTCGTTCAGGACTCTACTGTCAGTTACCATTTCCAGCTGCTTTCAGGGTTTTATCAATCTAAGGCAAAGCTTTAATTTATACTAGAAAGTATGGTGAATGACAACTGCTGCTTTTTCCTTCATTCCACACGGTTGAGGTGTATCTATGATCTCTGGGTAGGTGGATTGTTGTGTCAACCACAAATAAATAAAAAGTAGTAAATTCTTAACTACTTGGACTTGAAGGGTTCTGGAGTACACTTAAACCTAACTATTTGTCTTGGAAATGTGTTTCTTCATGTATATTTAAATATAAGTCTATCTGAAATTCTGAAGATCCATAAAAATGAACTCCAGTTCATTGGCGAGGAAGCTACACAAACCTCCTGCAGACGGCTTCCTGCCCGGTATGGGTTGGGTGAGGATGTAACATAAGCTTAACTAATTCACATGCTCTTATACATCACATAAGGAAAGTGGAAGATAATTAGGTGTTCGAGGATAAATGGCTTTACCTCCCAGTACTCACACCACTACCAAATTCCCTTTTATTTCCACAGAAGACCCACCAGAATCTGGGTCAATAAGTATCTAAAATCCAGAATTTGCTATGAATTTATTTGAATGTAGTAAATGTACTTACTAGTTGTTAAGAGTTGGCTGTATACTATATATAGAGCATTTTAATCTGTGTAACATTTTTAGAAATTAAGTTTCAGGAATATATACATTTTTATATAAAATATCCAAGGATAATTTAGGAAATTGTGTTCACATAAATGTTGGCTAAAGAGAACAGGGACACGCAATCTTGAGGGGAAAGTTGTGGAGAAATAGTACTGGTATCCAAATGAGTTATCTATTGATTTATTATGACAGGGGCCGTATTTGACCAGCGGGGTAAGGAGGAATAGGTAGGAAAACTCAGTTTCTATTCGTTCATTTATGTCCTATAAAATCAGTGACACTGAGAATTCTTAGCTTTTTTCAAATTCCCCTGTCTTCCATATTAAGCTCAGGAACTTGTTTTAAGGAGATATGTCTCTCATGAGAGATCTTCTCATATGAGATATTTTACTATGCTTTGGCTTCTGACTAGTCACAATAATTAGTAGATAAATTTTTCAAAAATAGAAGAATTACATCACCATGGCTCTATAACTGACTTTATAATACTTGTTTCAAAGTTCATGTAAAAGTTACTATTCATCCTTGTGTGATGACAGAGTCAAGAATTTGTGTTTTCTCATAGTTTAATTCCAAAAATTTTAGTCATATCCCAAATAGCCCTCAATGCTAAACTTTACTGATGCATATCCATAGCTTCTCACTTTCAAACAAATCACTCTAGAAGCAGCCCTAAAGGGAAAAACAGGTGTATCCTCATGATGGCATTTTTTAGACTAATGGAGTATGCATGTTTTGCTGCTAATTTTATATCAGCCCTGAAGTAACCGCTCTAAAATTTTCTTAGTCTAAACCAGTTAGAAAATTTAAAATCTTATTCTTAACTATACAGCAAAAAAAGTAAAACATGAATTTCCTTAACATTTTCAGGCCAATTGAAAATATGTAAGATACACACCGATATCTTCTCCAGGCTCCGAAAGGCCTCCTGGGAACTTCCACATGTTTTTCAACTGCAGTGTAAAGTCAGAAAATAACATCAACACAGCTTTTATTCACTAACACACATATATGGTGACCCACAATATTTACCCATATTGGTCAAGGTGGTTGAGAGTTTATTTTTTGGTAATTGCATGTAAATTTTTTCCAGTTTCCTTCCTCATTACTCTTTTCCTTCTTTTTGGGGGGAACTGGTAACTTATGAATTATTTTCCCACTGTTTTCTTTGGGAAATAGAAGTGGTTTTGTTTGGTTAATGTGATAAATTCTGTATGAATAAAACAGTGAAGGGAAACATCTACTGAATTAGTATAATTTTAAAAAATTTGCTGCTAGTTAACTATTAACAAATAGAGGAATCTTACAGATGCTGCTATAAATAAGTAGAAAATACAGTAAAAATGTAATCACTGAAGTACACTACTTTAATTTCACATTTATTTTCTGTATTGTGTGTCCAATCAGATATATTAACCTTATGATTTTTCTTGCCCTGTGTGTTAATGATTTCATGGGTAGTGTGAATAAAACTGATTAAGTTTGTGGGTTTTTTTGTGCACCTTCTTTGGGGGTGGGAAGATCTGATCTTGGAATGGAGATAAACATGGGGAAAACTGATTAAAAATAATTATGAAAAGGCATGGGACAATATGCTTATGGCTAACATATTTTTTCCTGTTAGAAGTTTGTTATACCTACCCAATCACCATGATCAAAGCTGAAGAATGAGAAATTAGGACATACTCATAAAGGCACTACAGCTTAGAGCCAGGACACCCTCTACTCTTCATTCATAAAACAAGTTCATGGACCTTTTTATGGTGTGCTTTGCGGCCCTCTCATTTCCTGGACGGGTGCTTCTTAAAGTGTGTCATTTCCCAACTATGCTAGGTTGGAGAGCAGTGGCATGATTCCCAGAGTTTCCACAGACAGCTGATTATGTGGGCTCAGAATTCAGGCTTTCCACCCTTCTGTGTCTGGCTCAGACTTGAAGTTCATTTATAATGCATATTATGTTTTATTAATGTAGGAAGATATCTCTAAGGATGTCTACATTAATGCACTGTCTTCGGGGAGTTCTATTCTGAAATGGTTCCAGAAGCTATGTTTATATGGAAACGCTGCAATCTTCTCTCCAATAGAATACTGGACTTCACCACCATAAATTCTATTTCTAACAAGAGATATAAATACTTCCTCAAAACAATAAAAGCCAATTTTTTTTTTAAACTCAGACTTGATGACAATAATTGGAGATTGATTCTTGATTACATTTGGAGATATGAACTTATTGGAAGGGGGAACATGCTAGATAGAAGGACTGAAAACATCTCATACAAATTTGATTTTCTTTATTTCATAAACCTTAGCTATGGAAAAATTAAGTTTATTTCTATGCTGGTGAGTAGTTTTTTATGTTTTCTGGCACCATTTAGCTTTAAAGAGCATGTCTGAAAAAAGCTTCCTCCATCTCCAAAAAAGCTTCAGCCTACAGTTAGTCTCAGTGGGAGGTAGAGAGGCCCTTGTCAGGTGGTTTGAAAACCTGGTTAATGTAGATCTGATCTATGGAGAGATGAGTATATCTCCTTTTTTAATATTAAAGAATACTCCCCATTAACTGGGTTGAGCAACATAATAACAACAACAACAAATACTAGGTAATATATATTACCTAAATGTTTTTATAAGAATTATATACGTTTAGCCCTGGCCAGGGAGCTCAGTTGATTAGACCGTCATCCTGATACAGCAAGGTTTCAGGTTCGATCTCCAGTCAGGGCACATACAAGAATCAACCAATGAATGCATACATAACTGAAACAACAGATTGAGGTTTCTCTCTCTCCTCTCTCTCTACCCCTCTCTCAAAAATCAATAAATAAAAAAAAGAAGAATTACACACATTTAAACTTTACAGTAATCCATGAAGGACTATTCCCATTTTGGAAGTGATAAAACTGAGGGCATAAAAAGACTTAATAACCTGCCTGAGGTGACAGAGCTAGAGTGTAGTAAACTTGGTTAAAATCCAGGCCTTCTGATTCTATCCATCTTTCAATAAATTTTAAAAGTTGTTTAGCTATTTTCCCACTAATCCTTAACTACTGTTTTCTGCCTTTTTCTATATCTTTTGCTCTTTTCTTCAGACCTCACTGGAACATTCTATGTAATCCAACCAGAATTTGGACTGTTTGGGTTACATTCATTCCAGGGCTTGTGAATTTGAACTGTGACCTCCAGGTTCATAGGTCGAAGCTCAGCCACTAAGCAATACCAGCCGGCACAGAGCCACTGTACTTAGATAATACATTAGCTATTGTATTATCCTTACCAATGAGATAGAAGCTGCCATAGAGATCTCTTAGTAAGTTTATCCATTGAACAAAAATTTATTGAGTGCTAGGGGGCCGGGTGTACAGAAATTAATGCACAATGTAGCAAGCCCATTCTCTTTCTCCCCATACCACTGTATTTTTCTTAACATCACTGCCTTATATATTATTCTCTTGTTGATTATTCTTATCTTCCCCATTTGAATATAAGCTACAGACATAGGAAGTTTGCGTTGTTCACTAATGTTTCCTTTGAGTTCAGAACAGAGCCGACAACGTAGTCAGTACAGGAACTCGGGAACGCCATTGAGTAAGTGAACAGGTCCCTGCCCTGGTCTTGGCTTTTTTAGCACCCAGTTTACAGATCAAGCCACTGTTAGACCTTTTATTTCTCAAAATCATGGGGCGGGTGAAGTATTGGGCTATATGGTTAGGGAAGGAGAAAGAATCCATTTTAAGTATCGCTTTAGCTTTGTGTCTGTGTGCATATGTTTGTGGTGAGGGTTAAACTCTGCTCTGCAAGAATGCCTTGACAGCAATGCCTGGGCAGAGGGAGGCGCTAAAAGGAGAACTGTCTCAGATGTCAGAAAGAATGCTAGTTGTTTATGGTTAATGGCTGTTATTTATGCTTAAATTCCACCTAACAACAATATAATTACAGAAATTAAATATGGTTTAGTATCACACTTTATATTGTTTTATTACAACACTGAACTATACATGAAAACTCAGTTTTCATCCTTTGTTGCTCTCAGATGGTTCTCTGCTTATAGCTTAAAAAAAATCGAAGCCCTAGCTGGTTTGGCTCTGTGATTAGAATGTTGGCCCTCAGACTGAAGGGTCTCAGGTTCGATTCTGTTCAAGGCACATACCTTGGTTGTAGGCTCAATCCCGGCCCTGGTTGGGGCATGTGCAGGAGGCAAGCAATCACTGTGTCTCTCTCACATCAATTTTTCTCTCTCTCTGTCTCTCCCTCTCCCTTACACACACACACACACACACACACACAAAAAAAAAAATTAACAGGAAAAATATATCCTTGGGTGAGGATTAACAAAAACAACAAAATTGAAGCCCTAAAAAGGAGTATCATTTCTATGTAACCCATACAGAATCCAAAGTCTTAAGTAATCTAAATTTGTCTCCAGTCTCTGCCAGCCCCAGCTGCCCAGAAGCACAGTAGGAATATGAAAAGCATTGCTTTCTCACTCTTAGAGGACCAATTACTGGCAGGTTTGCAAGTCAGCAAATGAAGAGTCGGAGCTCAATGTGCTGGGGTAGCAGCTCTCAAACTTGACCATGCACCCGAGTCACCTAGGTTTGTGAACATGAACTGCTGAGCAGCATTCCCAGTGTTTCTGATTCAGGAGGTTGGAGCGGGGCCTGGGAACGTGAATTTGTAATAAGCGGATGCTATGATTGTCTCTCAGCTCCAAACTCACCCTCTGTGCTCTGCCTAATGATGCTGGAGCTGGGATCCTGCTAACCAGTTTCTGCTCTGCCAGGGGACTCCCTTTTAGGTTCCATCAACAGGCGTGTAAGGCAGTGGGAGGAAGAGACTTATTGAGGGCCAGGCACAAAATACTTTATGTACGCAATAAATTTCTGTTGATAAAGCTTAGTTTGAGTCAGAGAACCTGCCTTAACTAAAACTTCGAAAGTTACTTATAACTATGAAAATGCTTTCAGATCGCATTTCTGAGAAATGTGTGATACTTTCAGCTATCATTGCCAATAGCTGTTTACAATTTAAAAACATATATGCTGGGGGAAATTTTTGACTCTGTCCATGATATTTACTGAAGTCTCTGAAAGCATTAAAATAATTATTCTCTTTAACCTTTATACTCCTGAGTGAGCATGAAAACATTTGTTTCTTAAAAACCTTTGTTGGTTTTAGTTGAATAGACTTTTTTTTTTTTTTAAATATATTTTATTGATTTTTTACAGAGAGGAAGGAAGAGAGATAGAGAGTTAGAAACATCGATGAGAGAGAAACATCGATCAGCTGCCTCCTGCACATCTCCTACTGGGGATATGCCCGCAACCCAGGTACATGCCCTTGACCGGAATCGAACCTGGGACCTTTCAGTCCGCAGGCCGACGCTCTATCCACTGAGCCAAACCGGTTTCGGCTGAATAGACTTCTTATTTTTGTGTACAAGGCTTTTTATATTCTGTTCCCAATCTAACTCTTAGGTCACATATTTTTCCACTGCCTACACTCCTGGCCACAATGAAGTTTTTGCTATTCTTTCCACAGTGTGAAATGGACTGAATGTTTATGTCCTCCCCACCTCCACCCAATTCATATGTGAATCCTAATTCCCAATGTGATGATGGCATTAGAAGGGGAGTCTCTGAGAGATGTCATAAGAGCGGAGCCCTTGTAAATGGGCATAGTGTCCTTATAACAGAGATCCCAGGGTGTTCCTGTGTCCCTTCTGCCATGTGAGGACACAGTGAGAAGACAAACACCTATGAACCAGGAGATAGGACCTCATCAGACACCAACTCTGCTGGTGCCTTGATCTTGGCCTCCCAACATCCATAACTATCCTATATAATAAAAGACTAATATGCAAATCCACCAAATGGCAGAATGACTGGTCACTATGGCACGCACTGACTACCAGGGGACAGACACTCAATGCAGGAGGTGCCCCCTGGTGGTCAGCGCACTCCCACAGGGGGAGCACCGCTCAGCTGGGCTCATGGCTGGTAAGTGCAGTGGTGGTGGTGGGAGCCTCTCCCCTCTCTGTGGTAGCACTAAGGACATCCCCCAAGGGCTCCTGGACTGTGAGAGGGCTCAGACCAGGCTGAGGGACCCCCCTCCCCCAGTGCATGAATTTCCTGCACCGGGCCTCTAGTGAGAAATAATGTTTGCTGTCTAAGTCACCCATCCTATGGTATTTTTGTTATAGTGGTTAAATGGACTAAAACATCAAGTCAGCTCCTTTCCAAACCCTGTGCCCTTATGTATAGAATTCTAATTATCTCAGTCTGCTTTTTTTTTCCTGGTAAGCTCCTATTCATTCTTCAAGATACAACTTAAATATCACCTCTTCTGATAATTCTTTAGCAACTTTTTAAAGGCAAAGTAAATTGTTACCATCTGTTGTATGACTGCTTTCCCAAATGGATAGTGAGATGCAGGACATCAGGGGGATTGTCTTACTAATCTTTGCATGCTCAGCACCTGGTTCGGAGTA